CCATCCATCCATCCACCTGCCCATCCATCCATCCACACACTCACCCATCCATCTCCCCACTCATTTGTCCAGCCATCTATTCATCCAGTCATCCATTTACTCATCCATGGACTCCTTCTTCCATGTATCCATCTACCCTCTCACTCAGCCTTCCATCCATCCAGCCAGCCGTCATCCATCCATCCAGCGTCACTTGTATGCCTATGTGTTCAGGGATGTGCTAGATCCCGGGAACACAAAGAAAAGGGGGGTCAGGCCCTACCTCCTGGGAGCTCATAGTCTTGTGAGGGTAAGTATCTCAAACATGATACTGTAAGGTGGTGCCCACATGATGGGGACATAACGGGGCCCCCAGGGAGTAGACACCATGCCTGCTGCAGCTTCTCATTCGATGAGCAGTGGATGGTGATCTGTGTCCAGAATGCACTCAGGCAGAGAGCAGAGAGTGGGGCTGAGTTACGGAGGAGGAATCGGATCCCTCAGTGTAGTGTGGCTTATGCCGGAGAGGGATGTTTCTGTGATAAGCCTTTCCCCCAGGAGGGCAAAAGCAGAAGAAGCTGTTATGGTTGCAGAAATGAACATTAATGTTATCTGTCAGCCTTAACATAGGAAAATAAGGAATGGCTGGCAAAATAAAGGTGGGGTTGGGAAGAGGCAGGGAAAAGGAGGGCATAGAGGGTATCAGGAGAGACCACCGGACACGGACAGATCAGAAAATAGAGTCTTAATATAGTACTTAACATTTCACAGATAAATCAATAATAACAACTAGGTTTAAGAAGGGAAGTGGGAGTATCGTTAAGTAAGCCTAGTTATTAATCATCAGAGTGGTGGACCAATGGAGATCATTTAAAATTGATTTATCTAAAAATGGTGGCATTAAAAACAGGCTTTTACTTAGAGTCTTAGAGGTAACTATGAGTAGAATAAGAAATAGAAACGGTTGCCTCAGACAGTAGGGTAGTGCTAAGGTGACCAGGAGACTTACTTCATGATACATGTTTTCTTTTACGTTATATGTATTGTGCTGTCAATCACACATACTTTTTGCATTTTAATTTTTTTCTAGAAGGAAACTTCCATGGAGTCCATTTTGGGAACTGATTGCCTATTTTTGTTTTCCCTTCTCCTTTTTTAGATGATCGATTTCCAGAATATGGCAAAGTGGAATTTGTATTTTCTTATGGACCAGAGAAAATACAAGGTATAAGCACGTTAAAGTCCATTTATGCATTCCCTTCTTTTCAGCCTGACCTGTCCCCAGCCCCTCACTACCCACCACTCATCTGTGTCAACTCACCTGTGACCAGGGACCAGGGGTAAAGGGTCTGTGCACCATAGGGGACCCCAGCGAGACATGAAACAGTGAGTTAATCTCTGGATAATAAAAATAAAAAAGCAGACAGAAAGGCGCTGGGTTGGATAAACTGTCCTGATCCTGTTAGGTCATTATCCTGTTATATCCAGAGACTGGGGGCCATGGGGAGATGGAGGGAGTGGCCAGGGACACGCCAGGGTGCTGATGGGTGACAAGTATTTCTGAGGTGATTCAATCTGGAAGCGAGAAAGCCAATTTTATAACAGCCCTCAGACTGGTTATATGTGGAGACCACTTGCGCACCATCTTATTTTTTGAGAACAGGATGGGAGGACATGAAGTCAGGTCACAGCCAGAGAGACTGGATAGACTAAATAAAGGACAGCCAGGCTCCGGGAAGGTAACTCCCCTGGTCTCTGCTGTCTTCATCTGCTCTCTCTGGCTGCGTCGGAGAGACTGCCTCACCCCTCAGGTGTCTGCCTGGAGTGGACAGCATTTAAGTTGTGTGTGTGTGGCTGGGCTCAAGGGGGTGGCTGCGATGACCTCTGTCCTCTCAGTGTGAGGCTGTGGTCTTCCTGCCTCCCCTTGCCCCATGCAGATGGCCACAGCCTCCAACACCTCCCCAAATCCAGGACCAGACCCCCTGTTTTGTTGACACTGCCGGGGCCCCCTGGGACACAACACAGAAGAGAAAGAGGCGGACACCCAGTGAGAGGCCCCCGACCTTTCTCCTGGGTGGGTCTTCATTCCTCAGTGCCCTGTCCGGATTTAGCTCCCTGACCTGGTATGAACCTTTTCAAGAATGCAAGAAACCAGACTCCTGGGTTCTCCATCCCGCTGAAGCCACTGGCCCACCTCTCCAACCCAAGAAAGCGAGAAGTCCCCTGGGGAGCCTCTCTGTGAGCGCGTTGGCTGTACCGCTTTTCCAGCTGCTGATCTCTCTCCCCCTTCTCTTTGCTGTCCCCGCCCCCTCCTGCCTAGGCATGGAGCACCTGGAGAACGGGCCGAGCGTGTCCGTGGACTACAACACCTCCGACCCGCTCATCCGCTGGGATTCCTACGACAACTTCAATGGGCATCGAGAGGACGGCATGGACGGTAGGTGGGACCCTCGGCCCAGACTCGCTGCACCGCACGGCCCTGCCCACGGGGTCTCGACGTTCCCGGGCTGCGATGCTGTCCCGGGTTCAGCGAGGGGCACAGAGTCCAGAGCAGTGGGAAGATAAGGCAAAATGTAAACGTGTTAACTAACAGAGACCACCAGAGAATGCAGCAAAGCAGCCGCGGGAGTGTGTCGCTGGTGCCAGGCGCGTCTTGTGCACAGTGAGACAGCAAGTCCTCTGGGACAGGCAGGGAGCATTCTGAGAGCTGGAGTCGCCTGGAGGGCTCCCTGGAGGAGGTGGTCTAAAATGGAGCTCGAGGGTCTGTCTGTGCTGCACACACCTAACTTTGATGAGGTTTCTTTCTTTCTTTTTTCTCTTCAAAGATTTATTTATGCTTACTGGGGTACAGGCCAGAGGTGTGGTGGGTCACAAGATTCAGAGACAGAGTGGGATGCAGAACAGGCAGAGCTACTGAAACACACTGCTGAGGGGAGCAGCGGGCGGGTCAGGAGAGGTCTGCTGTGTCATGTGGGTCAGCTCCCTGGCGGGGGTTCGAACTCTGCTGCAGTGGCCTTGGAGAGCCTCATAATGCGGTGCTTTAACTCGGTGCGCCACCAGGGTGAGCCCTAGTGAGGTTTCTTTTAACCTGATGGTGAATTTCTGCAGGCCTGCTGCTCAGATCCCTGAGGTCAGAGCACTAAGAATGTAGGCACAGCAGCCAGGGTCTGTGAGCTTTCATCAACAGCCAACAAAAATGTTTGAGAACTGGAAACGAGTGGAAAGGCTCCAAAATTTGAAAAGAAAACTGTGGAATTGAAATTAATACGTGTTTAATTTAGCTTCAAAACCTGCCATTATGTCAAATGGTCAGGCTGCAACTTAGCCCAGTTCTTGAGAGGTATAAATGGGTGAGACTTATTCCGGTGGTTCATTTGAATATTGTGATGGGGTGCGGGGTGGGGCCTTGAGAAGTGAGTGAGCCGGGAGCCGTGATGTCCTGTCTGGAGTTTGTCTGGGGGCCTCTTTTCTCAGCTTATACCTGAAGGATCTGGAAGGATCCTTGGGACTGGCTCCCACCCCACTTGCCCCACCCCCAGTCTGTTTTCAGCTGGGGCAATGGAGACCCTGTCTCTGAAGGGGAGGGACCGCCTCTTTACTCTCAAGGCCTGGAAAGTGTCCTTCCAAGGACAATGGCTCCCTGCCTCTGGGCTTTTCCCAGCTAATACCGGCTCTGCAGTGGGGCTGTGCGGACCCTGGGTCATGAGGCCAAGCCAGGTGACGGAGAGCCAGGCCTGCCTGCCCTCACCCCTCTTTTTGCTCTGCACCCCAGCCTTCTGCCTCCCTCTCCAAGGCTTTGGATTTGTTGACTCATTCTGAACATGTTGGAGGCCTTTTCTGACCTTAGTGACCCTGGCATGAGTGATGGATTTCAGAGCGAATGGGACCGGGAGGGCATTGGCCTGGAATTCAGGGCTTGACGGGAGTGTGTTGACATGCAACACTGTGAAGCTGATGGCTTGTCCTCATACCCGCCCCACCGAGCTGCCTCCCCAAAGCGCGCCTCCCCTGCTTGGGCCCCACTGCCCGTTCTGGGTGACTAAAGAGGAGGCACAGGCTGAAAAGAACTAGTTCTGAGATACCAGTGCTGCCAGCTTAATTGTTTATCGTTCTGGGGATGTTTGCATTTTTTCACAAGAACACTTGGCAATTTGAAGGAATTTTCAATGAATAGAAAAGTGCCAGGCAAACAAAAGTTAAAAGAGAAAGACGGCGTGATTGTGGGAAGGACAGGGCTTGGGATGCAGTGGGTGTGAAGGAAGGAAGGAAGAAGGGGCGCAGACAGTGGCGCAGAAGCTGCCCGGGCACAGTGGGAGGCGGGGAGCCAGGGACGCCCCTGGGCTCGGGAACAGTGGGAGGCGGGGAGCCAGGGACGCCCCTGGGCTCGGGAACAGTGGGAGGTGGGGAGGCCAGGGACACCCCTGGGCTTGCTGCCTTTTGCCCAGCCTCCCCTCTGCTCCTGCAGGGAAGGGGGTGGAGCCGGAGGGACCTTTGGCCAGTTAAAGGTCAGCTGGTCCTGCAGCGACAGAGATGCCCCTGTCTGGAAGACGGCTGAGTGCTGGCCCGAAGCCTTCAGGGTGGCAAGGGAGGTTGTGCAACTAGGGGAGACCCTGCCCATCCCACTGTGCTCCCCGGTGATTTGGGCTGGGCTCCCCACCAGGACAGGGGCAGGACAGTGACCATTGTCCCAGTCCTGCTTCTTCTCCTGGTTTGGGGCACTTCTGGAAGGTTCTAGATTCTGGGGCCTAGAGCAAAAAACATTTTCCTCTGATTTATTACTCTCTGGTCAGAGAGATTGCAGGGGCCTGAGTGTAGCTTCCTAGTTGTGGGCAAGGCCCTGAGTGTGCCTGAGTTTCCTCAAGTGCTTGCTGGGGAACAGTGAGCCTAATTCTCAAGAAAAACTCAAGCAGAGATTGGGAAGGAGCTGAGCTGTCTGTGAGTGGTCCTGAGCTTGGGGCTGGGCCCCGAGGCACTGGGGTGACCCAGGAGGCTGCGCCTGCTCTTTGAGAAGTCTCTGCCCTCAGCGCTATAGGGCAGGAGGGGAGCCGGTGTGGTTCAGAGCCTGGCTTCTTCGACCCACACCGCTGCAGCTATAAGCCCTCTGCAAGCTAGTCAGCCCTCTGTGGTATCATCTCCTCGTCGACAGACCTACAGATGATGAGACCCTTGCCCCTGGATTAATGTAGCAGTTTTCATGAGAGGCAGTTAGGAGGTTTAAACGTGTGGCTCTGTTATAGGCCATGGAGAGAGGGGCACCACTGAACCCCCAAGCCTGCCTGCTCTTAATAGGTTCTGCCATCTGCCGCATCAAGACAAAACATATAAGACTTTAATGAAAAGGAACTTTAATACAGTGAGTATACAAACACGGAAGACAAAGAATATAATTTCTAAATCAAACACCTGAAGTCACCCATCCCCTCATGGGCAAAAGTCCACCCAAAAGGGATTGGCCCAAAGCAAGGCCTGAAAGCTGCCACAAGACTAAAGCACCTTCTGGCCGGGACCCATAGAAAAGGGTCAGAAATGGCCAGACAAGTCTGGGAGGAAAAGAGCAAAATCAAAATCATTATAAACACTGCCACAGTCACCTCCCTACAGGTATCTCACCCACATCTGCCTTAGCCAGTCCAGGGCCAGGAAACAAGCCCGGTTTCTTCCTCACATGCTCTCTGCTCCATGTGGCTTCCTCAAGGCTCCTTCTGGCTCTCCATCCTGCTGCCTTCAGATTCCTTCTCTTCTCTTCTTTTCTCTGCTCAGCTCCACCCTCCTGGGTGGGGCAGGGAACCTAGAACTTCCCCTTTTCCCGGGGACCACCCAGTTACAGCTCCTGGAGCCAAACTAGCCAGGCTCCCCACCTGGGCTAAGCTGCCATCCTCACGGGCCATTTTGCTCAGTGCCAAAACGCGGATTCAGTAACTAAATCATTTTGAACACCTTTTGGGGAGCAGCTGAGGAGGCCACCCCATGGTCTCTGCTGTATCCGCAGGGACTGTGGCCAGCAGCTCAGGACTGAGGACAAGGCCCCTTGGCTCTGGGGGCCAGCTCTGACTTTGCCACGCATGAGTCACCACCCTTCAGTGCTTACAAGCACCCTTTGGGGGACCCTCTCACTGTGTCTGGAGAGGGAGACTGGCCACAGAGGAGTTCAGCAACCAGCCCGGGGCGCCTGGCCAGAAGGAGCAGGTCCAGCTGTGGAAGCCCAGCTCTCACCACTGCTGTGGGCTGGCTTGGGGGCTACTCCCAGCCTGTTGTGGGCATCCGTGGCCGTCCCAGTCCCTGTTGAACTTAGGGTGGTGTCTGTCTCCTGAGCCCCCCACCTGGCACCCCCAGACACCCGGTTGCCGCTGTCCAGCCTCTTGTGATGAGGAAGGGGCCAGATTCAGTGGTTTGGTGCCCAGAGACCCTGGTGCTGGCTCCCGTTGGGCACTTAGAGGGCTTTTCTCCCTCCCCCACCCTCTCAGGAGGGTGTGGGGCTGCCCTGGCTTCTCAAAATAGATAGGTTGGTTGCCTGAGGTGAAACGGGACCCTTCCTGGGTGTGTCCTCGCTTCTATTTCAGGCCTTTGGGACAGGGGACAGGAGAGGCCAGTCCCTTTGGAGCCCACCCATGTCCCAAGGGGCAGCAAGGACTCTGAGCCAGTTGATCAGGCCAGAGTCATCTCCAGCCTGGTGCCCCCAAGTGGTCTGGGCCCAACCTGGCTCGCCAGGTCACAGCAGCAGCTCACTGCTGCAGTGAGAGGCAGTCAGCGCTGGGTCAGGGCCCCGCTCTTCCCCTCCAGGAGAGCTTGACTCAGCCCTTGTCTCAGATCTGTGCTGTGCTTAACCCCTTCCTAAACTCCAGGTCCAGGTGTGTGGCATGTGATGCTTAGAAGCTGTTCACCCCTTAGGGCTCCGCCAAGCAACAGCAGGGCTGTAACACCAGGCAGAGAAATCCCCGCGGGCACTTCTGGTGCCTGGAGCTGACCTTCCCAGGTGGCCTGGCCCAGGCCAACCACAGGGCCCCTTTAGTGCCTTCCTCTACAGCGAGGAAGCTGGAGGAGGAGCCTGCAGACGTCCCCCCTTGTGTGACTCACCTTTGGGTGATCTCACCTCCCGTTGTGTCCACCTGAGGGTGGAGAGGAGATGCTCTCGCCGGGGTTATGAGATAAGAAGTAGAGTTGGTGTTTGAATCTAGGGGTTTGACTCCAAATTGCTTTCCATCTCCCTTGGAGTGCAGCTTACTCAGGGCCGGTGCCCCCTCATTCAGGTGGCTCCCACAGAGTGATCATCCAGGCCCTCAGACCCTCAGGCGACAGAGCTCATGGCCACACAGGCAGGCCATCCCATGCCACTTTGGAAGGTCTGGGAAATGGCACCAGAGCCAACCAGAGGGAAGGTGTGCCTGTGTGTGCGGGCAGGTGCGGGGACTTTGGGAGGCGTGCTCTCTCCCCTGGACT